TATAATCAGTTTCTTGGTGAAAGGATTCTTAGTTTTCTCGTTGTCAAGCTACACTCTCAACTGTCTTGTTGTTTTCGTTTCTCCACGTCCATTTACGTGCATTCATCCTCAAGTTAGGGAGTGATTTCTGTTCAAACATGTGTTCCAAAAAGAGCAGTAATCTTCCACTAAACCTCTCAAACGATAATCGAGTGATACTGTTCCCACTGAGAGTCATACACAGTACCCATCACTTTAAACTACAAAGCATCATCCAGTAGGCCACTGAGGTACGATAGCCACCCTCTTGTTCAACAGATATTACTTATTATTATTCGTTGGTACTTGTAATTGGATTTTACTGGACATAGACTGAGAAGACGGTTTGGGGACATGATGCGTTAGACCAGGCCAGGCCGTCGAGTGGAAGCCAAATGGGAAATGACGAGTTGGGCGTCCGAGGCGAGGATGAGATGGGGGAGATTGTGTGAGGAAGAAATGAAAGCTAGTGGGCAGTGGTGCAGCCAGGTTAAAAAGAATGAAGAGAAGAGAGTGCATTCGAGATGTGCTGCTGAAGCCGTAAGTTCCACGAAGAACCCAAGAGACAAATAAAATATGAAAAGACTTCTTGATAGGGAAAGACATTGTTATTAGAAAAGTGAATTATTCCCCGAGTCAGCTGGTTGTATGTTCACAAACAAATATGTCTTCACTGCATCTAAAACATGGCTGATGAGATCATATGTGTGCGAAACCGCGCTTTTTGCTGTCAGTATAGGAGACTGTCCCTGTTTCACAATCTGATGTGATGACTCATCACACAGTATGACCTTTAAGTTACAATTCGGGTAACCAATATTTTTTTAACCTCGCCTGGTTAACTAGTTCACTACTTACTAGCCGGTCCTAAGACCGGGTAAAGAGGGAAGGTTGGGCATAGGGCTAGCAAGCCTACCCCGTAAAACAAATCTAACCGCTAAACAAACTTCAAAGCACAAACGAAATGTAAAAAATGAAAACAAACTCATTCCTCGCTGGAATCGGAGAGGCGAAATGACGCCAGTTGGTGAAAGTCTTCGGGAGGCCAATTGGCCGATGTGTCTTCACTCGATGAAAGCGAAAGTAAACGTGGGGAAATGGAATGTCCGTACGATGTTTGAACCCAGCAAGGCAGCCCAGATTGCAAAGGAGATGAGAAGGTATAACATCGAAGTGCTTGGGATTTGCGAAAGCAGATGGAATGGGAGTGGAGTCTCCAATCTGTCAACTGGAGAATCAATAATCTACTCCAATATTGTCACCCAGACGACAACCAAGAGCACACTGGTTTTGGAGTGGCTATCATGATGTCCCCAACACCATCGAAGGCTCTCATGCAGTGAAAACCAACCTCCTCCAGTATCAGGATCATGACAGCAAGATTCAACTCAAAAGGAAGGAAGGTCACAATCATACAACGCTACGCTGTGCACCTACAAATAATGCAGAGCAAGAGAAGAAGGAGGAATTCTATAGACAACTGCAATCAACACTGGACAAGACAACACTTCAGTTGGCGATATCAAAATTCTAATGGGCGACATGAATGCCAAACTGGGAGGGGACAACACAGGAAGAGAACTAACCATGGGTCGAGAAGCGCTCGGTGAGGTGATGAAAGAGAATGGAGAATTGTTTGCAGAATTTTGCGCATTCAACGATTTGGTGATTGGAGTGAGGCAGTGTGTTCAAGCACAAGGATATCCACAAAGCGACATGGATTTCACCAGACACCAGGACACACTAAAAATCAAATCGACTTTATCTCAATCTCAAGAAAATGGAGACGCAGTCTACTTAACACAAGGTCAAGAAGAGGAGCAGATGTAGGTTCAGACCACTATCTAGTGCAAGGAACCTAACTTCCAAATCAAGTTAAAAGCCTTCAAGGAAGCTGGTGATAGACCTCAATTCAAGTACAACACTCGGAAACTGAAGGATGAAACTACAAAGCAGATCTTCACGACAGTCAGCCATCAAGACAAAATGGGGGATATCGAGGAACATTCCTGAAGAAACCTGTGTGGAAGAACACTGGAAGTCTTTGAAAGCTATGTGGAAAGAAACCTGCACAACAGTATTAGGAAGGAAGAGGAAAGGGGAAGACAAGGAATGGATCTCGACGGATACCTGGAAGCTGATAGAGGAGAGGAGGATGGTGAAGCAGAAGATAAACCAGTGCAAGGATGCTCAACGACAAGAGGAACTGAGCACAATGTATAAAACACTGAACAAAGAAGTAAAGAAGAGTGCACGCAAAGACAAAAGACACTTCTACGAAACACTGGCAAGTGAAGCAGAACAGGCTGCAGGTAAGAGAGACCTGACGACATTGTATCAAATAACCAGGTTGCTATCTGAGAAGAGATCAACACAGATGAAACCAATAAAAGATGAAGAAGGAAATTTAATTACGAAAGAAGAGAAACAAAGGAAACGATGGGCCGACAACTTTAAGAAGCTCTTGAATCGACCACCACCTGCACTTCGTCCAGAAATACCACCTGCAGCCCAGCCACAGAACTACAAGTGAACATAAATCCTCCAACGAAAATGGAAGTCCTGAACGCCATAAAGCTACTGAAATGCGGGAAAGCAGCAGGACCAGATGGGATACCGCCAGAAGCACTGAGAACAGATGCAGAGACAACAGCGGACATGCCCACATCACTATTGCAGAAGGTGTGGAATGAAGAGAAGGTACATGGCTATTGGAAGAAGGGTTACCTTGTCAAACTGCCAAAGAAGGGAGACCTCAGTGTTTGCAAGAACTGGTGCGGAATCACTCTCCTGTCCACCCAATGCAAGCAAAATATTAAGCCGCATCATCCTGGAGACGCTTAAAGATGCACTAGACTCAAAACTACGACCGGAACAGGTAGGCTTCAGGAAGTACAAATCATGTGCGGATCAAATTGCAACGCTTCGCATCATCATAGAACAGAGCATAGAATGGCAATCAGCTCCCTACCTCAACTTTATCGACTTCGAGAAGGCCTTTGACAGCGTCGACCGAGAAGTAATTTGGAAACTGTTTCATTACTACGGAGTACCGCAAACCTTTATCCGCCTCATTCAACAACTATATGAAGACGCCACATGCCAAGTAATTCACAATGGGAAGCTCAGTGATGATTTTGAAATGAAGACAGGAGTGAAACAAGGTTGCCTACTATCCCCCATGATATTACTGATTGTGGTGGACTGGATCATGCAGCAAACAGTGGGGAGTGAGAAGAGGGGGATACGCTGGACTGCAGAAAAGAACCTAGAAGACTTGGATTTCGCCGATGACTTGTGCCTGATGTCACATAAACTTGAAGATCTACAGGCAAAAACTAACAAGTTGACAGAAGAGGCAGCGAAGACGGGACTTCAAGTGAATATAGAGAAGACAGGGGTGATGAAGATACCGCACCAACAACTCCGACAACAACAATAAACTCCAGTCACCATCAACGGGAGAAACTTAAAGGAATTAGCCTCCTTCACGTATCTAGGCAGCACTATTTCAACTACAGGCGGGACAGACGAGGATGTCAAAGTCAGAATCGGAAAAGCAAGACAGGCCTTCATTAGCCTGAAACCAGTGTGGAGATCTTCTTCACTCAGCATAAAGCGTCAACAACATCCGGATTTTCAACACCAACGTCAAGTCAGTGCTTCTATATGGTTGAGAAACTTGGCGCGTTACGTAAGGGATTTCCAACAAACTACAGACATTCATCAACAACTGCTTACGCTCGCTGTTGAAGATCAGATGGATTGCCAGAAAGAATAAGCAACAAGGAACTCTGGCTGGCTGGCAACGAACCAACCAAGAACCTATCACGCAACAAATATGCAGGAAGAGGTGGAGATGGATTGGGCATGCACTGCGAAGGCCGACTGGGGACATCACGCGTCAGGCCCTCGAGTGGAATCCCCATGGGAAGCGACGAGTTGGACGTCCGAGGGTGACATGTAGGAGATCGTGCGAGGAGGAAATGCGAGCAGCTGGGCTGTCGTGGAACCAGTTTCAAAAGATCTCAGAGAACAGAGGCCACTGGAGACGTGCTACTGAAGCCCTATGTTCCACTAGGAACCCAAGGGACTAATAATAATAATATTTTGGTGACCAATCATATAGATATATTCATATTAAGTTTCGAGTCCTTCATACGAATGACTTAGTGTCTACAGTATACATTTACCCGAATAGGCATTAACAGCAAATGTAGCAACTAGGCAACACTGGTACAAACTAAAATCCCATCCGGTATAAATGGATGAATATACAGATTGTCTGTCCTAATCAGATTTCTTTTCGTCCAATTAGCTCTCACCTTCCCTTCATTTGGACTAACCGAACGGGTTGAAACTTGTCACTATAGAGAGACAGACATTGCCCGTATCTCGACATTAGACTGTTAGGGTCAACGTGTTTGTCCATTTCCTCAAAAGTTGTGATGTGTCTGTACATCTCTATATACTAATGCTCTGATTGGAATAACGTTGCATTTGTCCTTGAGAAAAAGTAAACCATCATCCGAAATGCCCAACTGTTCAAATTCAACTCGAAAAGAAGGTGGGCTTCTGATGTTATTTTCCCAAAAGCTGCTTCTCCATTGCCACCATGTGCCCAGTATTTACCTACCCTTGAATATACCTATACTTCTCTTTCTCTCTCCTTATTGGTCGGTTTCTCCATTTAGCTTGGTAAGCTTTGTGTTTTCGATATTCGGTCAGACGTTAGAAAGCGTATTTCTTTGTAGTTTTCCTAATAAACCTTGTCTCCCCTTTATCAATAACTTTTCCTAAATATTACTCTGCTATCCACTTGCTTACTATCAATAGTTAATTACTGTTTCCATTTGGTAGCTGGTTGGCATACTATCCCTTGAAGAAATCAATAAAATTCGATTATTGGCTGTGAATACTGAAATAAATTTAGGCTATTCAGAAAAACATTTGGATTACTACTGTTCACTAGAATATATAAAATGATAGATGAGCCAACATCGATAATGAAAATGGAGGAAACTAATGTAATCCAGTCCACCAATGTCAGTAATTCTACGTTTCCAGGTGAGTACCGATAATTTTAACTGGATTTTATTCAGTTTTCTTTCTGTCAACCAACAGGTTGTTTAGATTTTCACTGACACTTACAAATGTATACTTTTCTAATATTTTATATTGTTAAGTGCAAATTAGACAACAGAACAATGCGTATAGACACCTACTGATCACCTCTAAACCATCTAACATGAAATTCTGGTTTCTTTTCACTTATTGTAACATGTAGTTTGAGGTTTATGTTTAAGGTTGTCTTCATCTTGAACTCCAACCAGTAGGGGAACCCATTGAAAACCTGAGAGTATTGGATGGGTGTTTTGTTCTAGCATGAGATTCCTCAGCAGTACGCACTCAAAATCCCACCATAGATGAAACTCAGGTCCTTTACGTTTCACGGCAAACACGTTAACCATCCAGCCAGTGGGTTGGAATCTAATACTTCTGATATCGGTTTTGCTTTTATAGGTGAATTATAACAGCCCAATAGTGAACTTGTTGGTTTACTAATGATACACTGCCAGAGACGATAAGAAGCAGTGGTTGAGGATTCTTGGTGACGTGGCTGGAAATTGGTCGCAATGTCACAAATGTATTCACTCTTTGACATCTAAGGGTTGAATATTTGCAGTAATTTTTATCTTGAAATTTTTCTTCCTCTCATACACCTTTGTCTACTTTGATATTAGTCTTTTTCTGTTCATCTGTTTTTTTGGGTACTACTGTGAAGTGTGGTAACTTGAACTGATGCACTTGTCATAAGAGGTTCTACCTTGATTTGTCTGTCTGTATAACACTAAACGTGATATGCTCAGTAGCTCTGTAAACTGTTACAGTTAACACCTGATATTTACTTTCATTCGGTTCATATGATAAGAAGAAGAAAATCTGTAAAACCTGGGAAGCAGTGGGGAAATGTTTCATTGGTAGTATTACACTATCATGTCATTTAAAATGGAATGCAGAATCCATGGGTAACAGGCTAATGTGTTCACGCTAACTGGTTTGATTTAAATAACTAGAATACTCAACATCAATAATCTTATGATGTAACGTGAACTGATACTGAGTGATGCTTGAAGGCAGTACTTAACCCAGCAATCACCGGGTTTCTGGCCCGATACTCTAGCAATTGAGCTACGATACCCAGCTGCTGACAAGATTTTCGTTTCACTCCAATCAACAAGTATTCTCTTGGACTGCCATATGAATTCATGACACGTTACTGCCACTTGACTGTACTCACATTGGCTGCCCAATTAGGACTTCTTGTCCCAATCTATCGCCTGACGAGTTCCAAATAGGGCGAAACGTGCATCCTCGAATTCCACTGCTAGCCATTACCTATCGTTAGTCATTGATTATTTTGGTTGGAACAAATCAAGAACGCGAAATAGCAAGTTGTTTTGACATTTTTATTGAAAACAATGTAGACTGATTACTTTCAAGCTTTCACTTCAGCTAGAACTTCATCTGTCAATGATATCCTTGTCGCAACCGTTTAATGAATTTAAAAAATCATAAAACAGATTAAAACTCTTAGTACTCGTTAGCATTGGTGTCCATGGTGCTCATTCCATCCTGTTCGAAATTTTCCAACCAGATGTATATATTGGCGTCTCAACTGGCGGTCGAACCTGACACCCTAATATTTATGAATGCAATGTATAGATTATAAGAGTCTTTATTTCATCCAACTAGTGATGCTGGTTACCACAGTTGTTGTTGTTTCATTTATTAGGCTATTAAATTGACCAGTCTACCTTCGTTTAAATGTTTAGTTTATGATTTTCGGAGTATTTACATTCAACATATTTATGTATACAAATGTTGAAAATATAATTTGTTGTATTATTTCCCAAGTGAATTTTTCCATTTGTCATAAGTTGATTAAAATGATACTTTTTACTAAGGCTAAATTAGATAGGGACATATAAAACATTAGTCCCTTTTATGAATTTGGATAACGTAATTAGAAGACGTAAATTATCTGAACGATATGTGATGTCTTTGCGCTATACATTTCGAACAATCTGATCTCCCACACATTTACTTGTTAAGACATTATATATGAAAACTGGAAGTGAAGGAAAGACAAATATGAATGACATAAAGGAATCTAATAATAAAGGAAGATAAAAGAGAAGATTTGAAGACAATCTTGGTAATACGATTAAATAAGCATTACCAAGGTAGGCTTAGCACATACAATAAGGGGTTACATTTCTTTATGGCTAGGGCCTCAACAAACTTAAGTATACGCCCTACTCTGATGGTTTCTACAAAATTGTAAACGCTGTTTTAGTATCAATCCTGTGATATATGATATATTTTGCAATGGATGATGATGGTTGTCAGCCACCTGCGCTTATCAATATTTGTGAACCCAGCTGCTTTTGTAGCCATTTTGGTACATGTTATGGTTTGTGTATATATTCCGAAACGAATATAATACGCGCGCTTAGCTGACAGCTAACTTGGTACGCAAGAGACACTGGCTGCAATCCCGGGACGAATAGGGAGAAGACCGAAGCTGGCAGATGGGAGAGTGTATTACTCCGAGAATATAATATAATAATGAATCAATCCAAAACACGTGAATAAGTATACACATGAAAACTGACCTTGTCTGCAATTGGAGAAATTCGCATAGTAAGAGTAAAAGTTAACCAATCGGCGAATTACATTACAATGGAGGCAGAAAATAGACTATTAGTCATACCGCAAAAACGATGTGGGAATGACACGTTAAAATGTTCAGATCAATAACAATGTTTTGTACAAAACTGAGGCATCACAACAGTACGTATTCCTCTACCTTCAAGTGCATATCACGATTAGTCTTCCCTATGTACGATTGTCCACACACATACATGTAAATTTATGAACGCAGTGAGATGTGACGCAAACGTTTCAGCAGCGTTGAGGTCTATGTTGCAATAGGTGTTTGGTCTTCTCAACTACGATAAGGTTAGCTGCACTGCACGTTTTGCTAACAGCGGACCTTAACCTTCGTTTTAATATTAGGTTGTTAGATTCTCCTCTGTATGGTAACGCGATGTAAATGCATTTCTTCGAAACAGAGTACAAATTAGGTGTGAATCCTTGCTGATTTTTGCAGCGGTTTATGAACTTCAATGGATATCCACTTTCCACTAATGTTCCTGTTAGTATTTTTATATCATTATCCATTGAGTCCTCCGTATAAATACGCTGTATCCTTTTAAATAAGCAAGTTACCAAACCTCGCCTGTATTGGGTTGGAAAAAAAGCTATGGAAACTTAAATACTAACCTCTTCAAGTGGGTTTCATGTAAATCGACGGTTCTATTGAACCATCATTTCTACGACTTAGGAGTATATCCAAGAACGGCTGATGGTTTCTTTTCTCTTCTTTACATGTTAGGCTTATGCTGTTTTGTACACTGTTAATTCTTTCTAACAAACATGTCCCATCTTCATGCTTGTCACATATCACAATCATATCATCAACATATCTCTTATAGAGAGTAACTTTACTGATGATATATATTTGTCCTTCCTTCACTCCCAGTTTTCGTATATAATCCCTTAACAAGTAGTATGTGGGGAATCAGATTGTTCGAAATGTATAGCGCAAATACATCACATTTTCCAGATAATCTACGTCTTTTAATTACATTATCCAAATAGAGAGAGATAATTTCGAAGGTCAGATGTTGTTTTTGGAATAGTATTGTGTGGTAAAACTCTCAGATTTAATGTTTAAGAAAATTTTCGTAGTCAGTGTATATTACGTAGTGATGATTGTTATTTAATACCTTGGAAAAGTTCTGTGAATATTTTGCACAAAAAATTCAAATCAGTTCAGTTCTCATTAATCTAACTGTCTGGTGAAAATTCTCAACTGTATGCATCTCCGTATATCCATGTGGGTGTATACATCGAGAAGTAGTGTGTGAGATACAACAGTAAATCTTGTGTATAAAAGAAATCAGCTTCCGGATTGAACTCAGGTAGTACACATACAACTGAACTACTGATATCGTATACTAAATTCAGTCAATGAGTTTCATCCTTATAATGACTCTACTTCAATATTACATCACTCACTAAGTCGTTTAGAGGAACAAAAAACCGTTGTGTTCGTCGTTCTGAGCCGTTTTTAGTATAACTCAATCTCATAATACCATTCACAAGGTAGATAACCAACCGGGTTATGCTGCATTACCAACTACTGATGATTCAAACTTAACAAGCACCAACCATAAATTATGTGTTCGCATTGAAATCTTATCATCTGTCCACTCATCTTGTAGTGGGCGTTGCTGATAAGAATGGATATAAGTAGTATACGTTGAGAGGGAGGCAGAAATCATAGGGAATTACCAGGAATGGGTAGAGATTTGGCCAAGAGAAAAGCAAGAGACAATGCGGGTGTAATTTAATTTTATTTTCCCCTTGGCGCCGCGACTGCCCAAAAGCTTTCATTTCTTCCTCACATGATCTCCATGTCACCCTCTCATCGGACGCCCAGCTGGTCGTTTCCCCTTTGGATTCTACTCGAGGGTCTGGCCTAGCCTGGCCTGACATGTGATGTCCCCGAATGGTCTTCTCAGTGCATGCCCAATCCATCTCCACTTTCTTCCAGTGCATATTTGTTGGGTGATAGGTTCTTGGTTGGTTCGTTCCCAGAGTTCTTTGTTACTTGTTCTTTCCGGCCATCTGATCGCCATCTTAAGTATCGAGCGTAGGCGGCTGTTGATGAATGTCTGCAGTTTGTTGGAAATGCTTTTCGTGACGCGCCAAGTTTTTGAACCATATGGCAGCACTGACTTGACTGACAATGGTGTTGAAAATCCGGATCTTGCTTTTTATGCTGAGTGCAGTAGATCTCCACACTGATTTCAGATTAATAAAGGAAGGCCTGTCTTGCTGTCTTTCCCATCCTGGATGACTTTCACATCCTCATGTGTGCCACCGTCACCACCGCCGCCACCTGTAGTTGAGACGATGCTGTCTAGATAGGTAAGTAGGTAGGTGAAAGAGACAACTTCGTTTACATTTCTCCTCTTGATGTTGATTGGTGCTTTTTGTTGTTGTTGTTGTTGTTGTTGTTGTTGTTTGTTGGGCATCTTCATCACCTACGTCTTCTCTACGTTCACCTGAAGTAAGTCCTGTCTTCCTTCGCTGCCTCACCTCGCCTCTTCTGCCAACTTGTTGGTTTTGGCCTGTACATCGAGTTTGACATCGAAACATTAAACAGAAATCATCTGGTCCTGCTTTTGCTCACCCTTTCAGCAACTATGTGGTGTTTAAGCATTTCTGCTTTTGTCGGAGGGTTTGTGTTCACCGATAATTCTGTAGCTGGTCTGCTGGTGATATTTCTGCAAGAGTTACAGGGGGTGGTTGTCGCTTCAGAGATTTTTGAAATGGTTAGCTCATCGTTTCTTTTGTTTCTGCTCTTTTGCTGTAACTAGCTTTCCTTCACTATCTTTTATTGGTTTCGTCTGCGTTGATCTCTTCTCGGATAGTAACCTGGTTATTTGATATAATGTTGTCAGGTCTCTCCTACCCGTAGCCTGTTCTGCTTCACTTGCAAGCGTGTCGTAAAAGTATCTTTTGTCTTTTTTGCGCACTCTTCTTCACTTCTTTGTCTAGTGTAGTGTTTTATACGTTGTACTCAGTTCTTCTTTTCGTTATTCATCCTTGCACTGCACTGGTTCATCTTCTGCTTCACCATCTTCCTCTCCCTCCTCTATCAGCTTCCATGTGTGCGTCGAGATCCATTCCTTGCCTTGTTTCCTCTTCCTTCCCAACACGGTTATGCAGGTTTCCCTCCATATAGCTTTCAAAGAGTTCCAGTGTTCTTCCACACGGGTTTCTTCAGAGATGTTTCTCAATACCTCCCATTTTGTTCTGATGGCTGACGTTAAGATGTCCTTTGTAGTTTCCTACTTTAATTTCTTTTCTGGGTGTTTAACTTGGACTGTGATCTATCATCACCAACTTCTTTGCAAGCTTCCAACTTGGTTTTGAAGGTAGGTTGCTTGCATTGGACGTTGGGTGGTGTGAACTTACATCTACTCCTCTTCTTGATCTTGTTTCCAGTAGGCTGCGTCTCCACTTTCTTCAGATTGAGATGAACTCGATCTGATTTTTAGTATAGTGTTTGCATCTGGTGAATTGGAATCCATGTCGCTTTGTGAATATGCTTGTGTTTGTACACACTGCCTTCAATCATCAAATTGTTGAATGCGCGGAAATCTGCAAACAATTCTCCGTTCTTATTCATTTCACCGAGGGCTTCTCGACCCATGATAAGTTCCCTTCCTGTGTTATCCGCTACGAGTTTGGTATTCATGTCGCCCATTAGAATTTTCATGTCAGCAACTGGAGTCTTTTCTAGTACTGATTGCATTTGTCTATAGAATTCCTCTCTCTTCTCTTCATCTGCATTATTTGTGAGTAGATAGCGTAGCACTGTATGATTATGACTTCCTTTCCTTTTGAGTTGAATCTTGCTGTCATGATCCTGATACTGGAGGAGATTGGTTCTCACTGTATGAGAGCCTTCGATAGTGTTGGGGACATCATTATAGCCACTCCAAAACTCAGTGTGCTCATGGTTGTCTTCTGGGTGACAGTTTGGAGAGTCCACTTCGATTCCATCTGCTTTCGCAGATTCCAAGTACTTCCATGCCATATCTCCTCATCTCGTTTACAATCTGGGCCGCCTTGCTAGGTTCATGCATGGTGCGGACATTCCATGTCCCCATCCTTACTTTCGCTTTCGTCGAGAGAAGAGAAGACACATCAACCAATTGGCTTCCCGAAGACTTTCACCAACTGGCGTCATTTCGTCTCTCCGATTCCAGCGAGGAATAAGTTTGTTTTCATTTTTTATATTTTCTTTGTGCTTTGGAGTTTCTTTAAAGATTGGATTAGTTTTACGGTGTAGGGTTGCCAGCCCTATGCCCAACCTTCTCTCTTTATCCGGGCTTAGGACCGGCTGGTAAGTAGTGAACTAGTTGATCAGGCGAGGTTAATGCGGGTGTATTAAGAGCAAATCAAGAGAGAAGCAGAAGAGGAAATGAAGCACATTTTGCAAATGACTGTCGTAGTGCAAGGTGTACCATATTTGATGACTACAGTACCACATGTTTATATAATAAGCATTCCTTCTTTCGTCTCTGTCTTCTCGTTTCTTTCAGTTTAAACTGGTAAAAGTGCCCATACATAAGGAATAGTTCATGTACCGGTATTTGAATTTATGGCGTTCATAAAATTGGATTTTTCAGCAGTTATTATCGGCCCAGGATGTTAATTGGGTATATCTAAAAAAGTTGACTCTTTTCTGTCTTCAAGGGAATCTCACATGGATTGGTATCATACTGTGTGGAATCAACCGGCCTATCTCACCTTCACCTTTCAAAGACTATCTTTAAAATACAAATACTTGGTTTACACATAGTTCGTATTAGCTAATCGCATGCTTTCAATGTTTAAACTTATTAATTCAGTGTTGATTTATTGGAAATCAAGAAGTCAATTTTGATTAATCATCTTTAAAGATTCCTATAGTATAGAACAGACCAGTGGACTTAAATAACGAATTGAAATTAATCTTAATGCATGACTTTTAAGGCCATCTTAGCAACTGTATAGATGACTAATTACTTTTATGAAAAATTACCTTTCAAACTGGAATACCAAAAACTGATTGGTTACCTCAGCAGTTGCTAGGGTGACTCGAAAGTCACTCATTTGGTTCCAACATTATCCTAGCTTGTTTTTTAGCTGTTTTTTCCTACCTCATTTGCTAATTACCTAATGGAAACACTATTTTTTGAAAATTGCATTTTTTGATTTCCCAGCTGACAACACAACTAGTGATAATCCAACCACAAGTTTGAAGAGAAGCTCTAGTCAAGTAAGGTCTTCTGAACAAGACGATGATCCAGAGTATGCTAGAAAAGTAATGGTTTTAGCACCTGAGGTATGTTGATATCTATTAGTGAAAGTTATTAAGTTGAAAAAAATTACTTGATTTCTGCCTTTCATTTATTTCGTGCTGGTTGTCACTCGTCAGAAAGACGTATCTGCAACTTCAACGGTCCTGATATTCCGCCTGGAATTCGAACCCTTATCATCCTGTGTTACATCCACCCACGTTATCACTGAGATATTCGAGCTAAGATTAACGTCCTGTAGGACTGAATTACATTGACTGCAGAGCGATCAATCTGATACTGATTGCATCCAACCATCCAACATCCATCGAAGTGCACCATAACTAACTTATTATCGCCTATGCTTTCAATTTTGATCCACTATAAAACCTGTAAAATCAGGGTAATATGGGTGTAAAACTTAGGCACTGTGATAGAAATTGATTCCATATTAGACTTGTTTATTTGATTTATAACACACAGTCATCTAGTATTATTTACTTGATTACCACGTTTCGAGCATAAATTATCATCACTCATAATCATAATCACATCAATGTAATCACACTACTTTCGACAATCGATTTTTATAGTTATGTCACCTTATACGAGAAGCGCTAATAGTTAACAATTATCCTCCGCAGTTTATTAAGAAATTCGTACGAATATACAAGAAAAGGAAAAATAACAGTCACATGAGTGCGAATAATAACGACAGCACAAGTAGAAAGGAGTTCATAGCCTCCATTGTGTTACCCTATAAGGAGGGTACATCAGAAACTGTACGTAGGATCCTCAACAGAGCTGGGATTAGGGTGGCACTTAAACCTACAAACTCACTCAGAGATAAACTTTGTCGGCTACCTTAGGGATCCGATGGAACCAATTAAGCAAAATAATCTTATCTATCAAATTCCATGTAATGACTGTGAGTCAGGTCAAGTATTTAGGTGAAACTAACCGGTCGGGGTCAGTTAGAATAGCTGAACATAGTGAGCTAGCTAAATAGAATACAGAATGACAGACCCGAATAAGATCAATAATGTAGAAAAGTACTCGGCTATTGGAATGCACACATTAACATACAACCAAACAACAGGGTGGGATAAAGCCACTGTACTTAAGTCCAATATAATTAGGTGGAGAGAGAGAGAGAGAGAGAGAGATTACTGAGTCTGTGTTCATCGAATCAACACGCAACTCATATAATAGAACTGACGCAACACCTATACCAGAGATATGGAAAATTTTGCTACCAATAAAAACAACTCATATAAGGTGATATAACTATAAAAATCGATTGTCGAAAGTAGTGTGATTACATTGATGTGATTATGATTATGAGTGATGATAATTTATGCTCGAAACGTGGTAATCAAGTAAATAATACTAGATGACTGTGTGTTATAAATCAAATAAACAAGTCTAATATGGAATCAATTTCTATCACAGTGCCCAATTTTTACACACACATTCCACTTTTTGTCATGAACAAGAAATTATTCATAAATGAAACGGAATTCTTCTATCGATGTTCTCTAGCTTTTGTTATTTCACTTTAAAGAACAGTCAGCAGTCAGTATTCTTCTTCATTCCAAGTCATTGAGGGAGGGAGGATTAACATGGAGCTAAGAATTACTCAATACTGGTCGGAGTTGCCACATCTCATATCAGTACGTGAAGAGAAAAGTCATTTAAATGTAGGATATAGAAATAAGGAAGAAAGTAGTCAGAATGGTAGAAGGTCATGTAAAGAGAGTCAGAAAGAATGAAACAGTATGGAATTTCGGCATGAATATTAAGATAAAGAGTGAATACATTTGTGCCAATGAGAATGATTCTGAGCCATATCGCCTAAAGCCTCCAACTAATAATTTCGGTTGCCATGCCAACCCTAATCAGTTAGTCTACATTTCCAAATTGGCTCAGACCAGTGGTCATAGACTGCCTACATTGATGTTATTTTTTAGTCTGAGCACTTCTAACCTTTTACAGTCTAAATCTGCTTCAGTTGGAATTTTATGATATGGCAGATGGTGAATAGGCATGCATAACACAGGTTCCAGCCACCTCATTATATGAAGGTTCACAACCTGAATTCTACTTTACTGACATGATGACACCATGACATGGAGCCAATGCTACGAAGGCAACGGTGGTCAGGAACCCTAAACCCCTTCATATCGTTCACCATTAATCGCAACTTTTCACAGCCATATAGTAGAACAGGGAGAATTTTGATGCAGTATACTCTGCCGTTAGTAGGTAATTTGATATCACAGAGGCACCATAAGTGGCGTTACTCAACGAAAGTCAACTATGTCCTTTTTAACTGGGTTTAAATGATTCAGTTTCTTTTAAGGTCGTCAGTAAGGGAATATGTATGTGTTGTTCATTGATTTTATCAGTGGAAACTTCAGATCACCCTGAGGTGTGTCAAAAAACTTGTCTCTCCGTAATCGATATTTTATTTTTCGTTCTTAAATAACACTTATATTAGAGATCATAAATAAGTGAATATCAAATTGAATTGTACAGTTGATAAATAGGTAACGATGTCGCATATAACTGATTACTACTTAGATATTTCATGATGTCTGGTAACTACGTGATATTTTAAAAAAAACAAAACAATATTAATATCTCAAATTCATCGACTTTGAGAGGCCTTCGACAGCGTCGACCGGGTTTTAATTTGCCAGGCAACTGCTTCAACACTACGGTCTCAGTGCCATAAACCTTCATCAACCTCATTCAATACTAGCTATATGTTATATGATGAGGCTACATGCGAGGTTATTCACAATGGAAAGCTCAGTGATGCCTTTGAAGTGAAGACGAGAAGGAGTAAGACAAGGTTGCTGCCTACTATCATCACTGATGATCTTCCTGATTGCGGTCGACTGAACTGAACTGGACTGAACTGGACTGGATCATGTAAGAAAAAACTGTGAGGAGCTGTGAGAAGATGGGGATACACTATTTGACCAGTGAAAATACCCCCGAAGAAGAAGATTTGGATTTCGCCACCGATGATGACTTATATCTAATGTCTTGTAGGACAAACTCGATGTACAGGCCAAAACCAACAAGTTGGCAGAAGAGGCGAGGTGAGGCAGCGAAGGAAGACAGGACTTACTTCAGGTGAACGTAGAGAAGACGTAGGTGATGAAGATGCCCAACAAACAACAACAACAACAACAAAAAGCACCAATCAACATCAAGAGGAGAAATGTAAACGAAGTTGTCTCTTTCACCTACCTACTTACCTATCTAGACAGCATCGTCTCAACTACAGGTGGCGGCGGTGGTGACGGTGGCACACATGAGGATGTGAAAGTCATCCAGGATGGGAAAGACAGCAAGACAGGCCTTCCTTTATTAATCTGAAATCAGTGTGGAGATCTACTGCACTGCATTGCACTGCACTGCAATGCACTCAGCACATAGCGTGAACAAGGTGCGGATTTTTAACTCTAATGCCAGTCAAGTCAGTGCTTCTATGTGCTGGTTGAGAGACTTGACGCGTTACGAAAAGCATTTCCGACAAACTGTTGACATATATGAACAGCTGCCACCTACTCCCAGTCGATACGGGAGATCATACCATATCATGTCATATCATATGAGATGAGATGAGATGAGATCAGATCAGATCAGATGTCCAGAATAATAAGAATGAGTAAGGAGGAACTCTGGCTGACTTGCTGGCTGGGTGGCAACGAACAAACCAACCAACTAAGAATTTAATCTCTCAACAAATATGGAGAGGAAGAAAGTGGAGATGGATTGTATTGGACATAGACTGAGAAGACGGTTTGGGGACATGACGCGTGAGACCAGACCAGGCCAGACCAGGCCAGGCCGTCGAGTGGAAGCCGAATGGGAAAGGATGAGTTGGGTGTGCGAGGGTGAGATGGGGGAGATTGTGTGAGGAAGAAGTGAAAGCTGGTGGGTAGTGGTGTATTCAGGTTGAAAAGAATGCAGAGAGCAATATGAAATGGTGATTTGCTACTCAAACTCTATCTTTCACTAGGAACCTAAAGGACAAATGAGAAGCATAATATAATCTCAGTAGAAATGTTTCGCTTGTAAGTGGATTTGCTCTGGTAGTAGTTATTTTGAGTAATATCCCTTAAAAACGTTGCATGTAACTAGGAGATGTTTTCGTGGATAATTGAGAGAGGGCGTTCCTTAATAGAAGTGTGCAAATGTGGTCCACATAACTCAGTCTTCAGCACTATTTATTGTACTTGCAGTGACTGAATGAATATTGATAAATGCACAAATGAAGCTAATACGATGAGATACTTTGACTTTATGCGAAAAACTACTTTTCTCTCTTAGTACCTGAGTGACAAAACTCAAAAGACAAAGACCAACCTGTGATCGCAAAAAATACTTTTTATTCGAGAAAATACATTATTTATATACAATTTTCAGGAACATACAAAACTACTAGGTCAGAAGTTAAGTAACATAAAACAAAGGCTGAAATAGAAAATTTCTACCTTAGCAGGTGATGAGTTAAAATGTTTCAGTACATCTTGACAATATGAATTTGACTCTTGTAAGACAAGTATTTTATTGAGCATTCAGTTCCACTTTTATTGGGTTTCAGCTGTTTACAACTATAAGCTGTATCAAATCAAAAGAACAAAACAATACTAATGTTACCTTATGCTATTGCTTTACTCATTTCTAGTCAATTCTATGAAGTCAATTATTTGTGGAAGAGAAAACTGTTGCTTATACCTGTTATGTGTTGTTTGTTTAATCGAAACAACCATAAGCATTTTGTGAGAAATAGTAGCCTGGATAGAATACTACAGTTTTTCTAATGGCTACCTATAAACACGAAATGTAGATATACAGATTCTAATCCTACCTTTCTGTTTTATGAAAAGATATAAATGAGACGGTTTTAAAAGTAAAGTTTTGACAAATATTATAGATGAATAAATGATATTTAAGGTAGTATCCAGCACGAACTGACATCAGATGAACAAGCATTGATAACCTGGCAACACTTAGCAGCTGTTTCCTACTAGTATGGGACTCTTCAACAGTACTCACCCACGACTTCACAAGGAATCGAGCTCAGGGCCCTCAGTTAATGCGATAAATAGTTATCATTTTAAATGTAAATATCTGTTGAATCAGGTGAGTGAAGATGCTGCTGACTGTCATTAAATAGTTCGACAGAGACGTGGGGATTTTATCACTAAACCATATAGATCATACTGTAAATAATGCCTCCATTCTAAGCCATACTCACATATTTGTTATGATGGGTTCAAATTGATTGTGATCTCGTGTTACACTCGGAATTGATGACTGAATTGAACAATCACCCAGATTAAAATGTTATCACACCTTAGTTGCCCAAAATTACATCAAGGTTATGATTACTCATAATGCTAGGAGTATCAGTAATAAAAAAAGACACACTGTTTGCTTTTTACTGAAAAATGTAAAAACACTAATAAGAAGAAAGTTTTCAAGAGATGATAATTTTACTTCAATCGGTGGTTCGGGAAGAATGTTTAACAACAGTCAGAAAATAATTCAATACTTCAGAGCATTGGACAGCTGTTTCCTTCTACTTTTTAACCCATTTGTCTGAATACCCCTTGATCTCTTGAGAGAACAAGCCCAGGACGATCTAATCTTGAGACAAATACTTTACTATTCAGGCATTGGAGTTCAAAAGTAGATATCTTCCTAATCCAGTCAATCCATCTTATGGTGCAAACATCATTTAGTGTTGTCATTTTGGTTGACCTAACAGATCCTGGCTTGCTATTAAAACGTCAAGAAATCCATTCTGTAGAAACTCCTGAATTAGCACTAAATAGTTATTCAGTTAGTGGATTTTCAAGACTGGATTTTAACCCAATGACTAAATGATATGTTCAAGTCCCAATAAGTTCATGAGTGTGAGTGAGCTTTTGAAAGGCTAGAACTTACGTTTCGGTTAACTGCTCGATGCTTCCAGGTCCTCAATTGTTCTTCTATTAACTTCAATCAATGATGAAGACTACTTTGATGACTTCACTTTCCGATGTTTGTCTTCTACAATTAATAAAGGCTGATTTTGGAATTATTCATTAAGAGACTATGCAAATAGTATAGATGTGTAAATAGCATTGGTTTGAAGAAACTTGAAGAATGATTTCTACCATTATTCCAAAATCGAAACGTCAGGCAATATCAAAGCATCCTCGCATGAGTCTACATGCCAACAGATACCGATCAAGTCGAAGATAGGATCATACTATCAGCAACATAAAAACGATGCCCATTACATAAAAATTGGGTGTCGTGGCTCAGTAGGCTAGTGGAGCAATCGATCCCAGGTTAGAGTTTCAATGAAAACAACTTCGGTCACTACGAGGCAGGTACATCCAGCTGATGAGTCCTAGATTGGACGAGACGCTCGTCCTGGATTCCACTGCTAGCCACTATCATCATCATCATCATCATCATCATCATCATCATCATCATCATCATCATCATCATCATCATCACGATCAACAGTTCAGATTAAAATCACCCATTTAACAACTGAGAATCAAAGTTCAGTCTATAGCTGTTTCTTTCAAACTTAAAACTTCTCAACTAGGTGCACTGTCAACCATCGATATGGAGATAATGAACATTTAGCTGTTCAGAAAATGTTTCCTAAGTTGTTTCAAAAAGTATATAGTCGAAAGTACATAATGTGGATTCTGGCTACGACCGGTAAAAATAGTACTAAGAAGAAGCCATAACCCGTAAGGTCGATCAAGTATTAAATGAAGATATTTATCGACAACTTTAGATGGTGATAGCAGTAAATTGTGAATTGATAGAAGTAAGGAAACGTGAGCTTTTGCATTTCCTCTCATTGGGTGGATGGTAATTTTCTTGCCATAGAACATGATAATCCTGAATTTGATCCTTCCCGGGATCGTAGTTTCTTTCTGTTGAGAAGTCTTGAATTAGAATGAAATAGCTGTTCAGGTTTTCAGTGTTTCTTCAACTGATGTCATTCCGTGATAAAAACCACTTTGAGATACTTAGTTAATTTATTTTTACTAGTATCTGAATTGATAATTGATTAAACTCACTCCTTCAAATCTGATCTTATCGTGTTTTATTAATATTTATGAATAAGTAATGAAGTTTTACTTAGGGTATAAACCGTAGTGTTTAGCATAAACTAACTTACGGGTTTATGATCATTGTCATGTTCATTGATGTGACCGCAGTTGCTAATAATCAATACGTGAAACGATAATAACGCTCGGTGATGCTTGGACTCGTTATGAGTTTCAAATAGGACGAAACGCGCGTCCTGGATTCCTCTGCTAGCCACAACCAACCAAATTACTATAAGAACGCCTAGAATTAGGATAAATAACTTCCTTATGATTATCTCCGAGCTATCCAGTGTCAAATAACACCGTTATTGTTGAGCATTTGTTCTCACGTCAAACTTAGTTCGCCCCAACGGTGAATTGGCAGAAGAAGGAAACTATGGAGTTTAGTATTCTGACTTATTGCCTGGATGATTAATGTACTACCCGCGAGGCCTGAAGGCCCTGAGTTCGGTCCCTGGTTGGGTGGAATCATGCATATGGACTGCTGAGGAGTCTCATAGTTAGGGGAGACAGCTGTCCAGCGCTCCCAGGCTTTCAACGGTTCTGCAGCTGACGTCAGTCGGTGATGAATAGTAATTTGAAGTCAGTAAATCCCCATAAACCTCTAAAATAAATACCATTAATATAATAACGCTTCTTATAAGAATCATTTTCAGATGGTCTTACATTGAATTTTCTTTAATAAATTTGTCTTAAATTTCATGTTAATAGGCATCAAAAGTTGAATTCAGTGATGAAAACGTATCCGGGATAGTTCATCCAATTACTTCTTCTGAATCAACTATCTCGTTGCCATCATCATTTTTGAATACAGCCGTGGAGACAGTAGTATCTAGAACAATAAGTACATCTGATAATTTGAAATCAGCTACCAATACAACTTCTGTGGACCTCCAAAGCAGTTGTGATGCCTCTTCAACTATTTCTGGAAATCAACAGCAACAGGAACCAAAAATTACAGAAAAGGGACAAATTAGCTACAATGCATTCAGTGCGACTAGTCCACGTAGACTGCATGTTTCCAATATTCCATTTCGATTTCGTGAAGCTGATTTACGATCTCTATTAGGTGTAAGTTTATTTATATTCGCATAACTTTTATTTTACATAGGTCGCGTTTTGCAAAAGTTGGAGAACTAGAAATTTAGAGTGACTTTAAAGTCCAGTTTAGCAACGACTGAAATAACTGATTAGGTTTGTTTATTTCAGCGGGAAACGCAGATTTTCATAGAATAAAGTCATCTAATAGGTTATTTCAGCAGTTACCAGGGTGGACTTTAAAGTCACGCAAAATTTGGTGGTAGTATGTAGTAAAACGATTTTTCTAGAGGCATAAGGATTTCGTTTGAAGGAGGACTTTAGTCTCAGTTGTGTGTAAATTATCCACGGCTTACCTATTAAGGTTTATTGAATAATCCATCGATTACTTCACTTACACAACCCTTGTCTTTGGTACTTCGAGTACGAAGAAGAAGTAGAAGCTATTTTGATGAAAATGAAGCCTAATTCAAATACACGTACTCATGTAGATGGACATTTATCTCAACTTCATCGACTTTGAGAAGGCCTTCGACAGCGTCGACCGGGTTTTAATTTGCCAGGCAACTGCTTCAACACTACGGTCTCAGTGCCATAAACCTTCATCAACCTCATTCAATACTAGCTATATGTTATATGATGAGGCTACATGCGAGGTTATTCACAATGGAAAGCTCAGTGATGCCTTTGAAGTGAAGACGAGAAGGAGTAAGACAAGGTTGCTGCCTACTATCATCACTGATGATCTTCCTGATTGCGGTCGACTGAACTGAACTGGACTGAACTGAACTGAACTGAACTGAACTGGACTGGATCATGTAAGAAAAAACTGTGAGGAGCTGTGAGAAGATGGGGATACACTATTTGACCAGTGAAAATACCCCCGAAGAAGAAGATTTGGATTTCGCCACCGATGATGACTTATATCTAATGTCTTGTAGGACAAACTCGATGTACAGGCCAAAACCAACAAGTTGGCAGAAGAGGCGAGGTGAGGCAGCGAAGGAAGACAGGACTTACTTCAGGTGAACGTAGAGAAGACGTAGGTGATGAAGATGCCCAACAAACAACAACAACAACAACAACAACAAAAAGCACCAATCAACATCAAGAGGAGAAATGTAAACGAAGTTGTCTCTTTCACCTACCTACTTACCTATCTAGACAGCATCGTCTCAACTACAGGTGGCGGCGGTGGTGACGGTGGCACACATGAGGATGTGAAAGTCATCCAGGATGGGAAAGACAGCAAGACAGGCCTTCCTTTATTAATCTGAAATCAGTGTGGAGATCTACTGCACTGCATTGCACTGCACTGCAATGCACTCAGCACATAGCGTGAACAAGGTGCGGATTTTTAACTCTAATGCCAGTCAAGTCAGTGCTTCTATGTGCTGGTTGAGAGACTTGACGCGTTACGAAAAGCATTTCCGACAAACTGTTGACATATATGAACAGCTGCCACCTACTCCCAGTCGATACGGGAGATCATACCATATCATGTCATATCATATGAGATGAGATGAGATGAGATCAGATCAGATCAGATGTCCAGAATAATAAGAATGAGTAAGGAGGAACTCTGGCTGACTTGCTGGCTGGGTGGCAACGAACAAACCAACCAACTAAGAATTTAATCTCTCAACAAATATGGAGAGGAAGAAAGTGGAGATGGATTGTATTGGACATAGACTGAGAAGACGGTTTGGGGACATGACGCGTGAGACCAGACCAGGCCAGACCAGGCCAGGCCGTCGAGTGGAAGCCGAATGGGAAAGGATGAGTTGGGTGTGCGAGGGTGAGATGGGGGAGATTGTGTGAGGAAGAAGTGAAAGCTGGTGGGTAGTGGTGTATTCAGGTTGAAAAGACTGCTGAGGGGAGAGTGAAATGATTAGGTTCTACTGAAAGTGTATATTCCACTCGAAAAGTAAGGGACAAATAATAATAATTATGTTGATAGAAGGTAGCCACACCTTTATTGTTGGATGCTAATGATACTGCCGGCCACCCAAACCTAGCTAGGTAGAGCTGGATTCGGAGGCACTGCCTGTCGGTAGGAAATCAAATAAATTGACCAATGAGTTATATATTCAAATGAAAATGAAGCAGCCACCTATTTCTCATTTGCACAAATGTGTACCACTAATTATTTAATGGGATTGATGATCAAAATAGCACCGGATCGAAATACCTCAGCGACTTTATGCAGTAGAAAACAGCTACACCTGTTGCGTGGAGGCTAATGATACTACCTGCTTATTCGTGATCTAACGAGTTGAAATCAAGTGCTACATATACCTGTAAACCATGACTCCATTGAGTAAACACTCCTTCATATCTCCTAATTACTAAGTCTAAGCTGACTGTTAGGTTTCAGTTGTCGGAATGTTAAAGATTTAGTAACAGTTTGTTGGATATCATGAGGTATTTTATGACTACCGGACACATCGGCTTGTTATTGCTTTTGCGGAATAATCTGTTGCTTGTGTCATGAATATAACACGACCTTGTCGCTGTTGTATAATAATAGTTTAATGTAGACAGATCTGATTCCTGTTCGATGCGATAGTTTTCATAGAGAATGTCTAATGAGATTTCTCGTGCATAGCCCAAAAGACTTCATTATAGACTATCTCCGTTGTTTGATAAGTTTTACTAGTTTTAAAAAACCTGTTGTTCAAGCAAGTTATCGTCTTAAACTAATTCCATCGAAAGCAAATCAGAACTACTCTCCACAGAAATAGAAACACGACATTTATGCCATACGTCTAAATGTTTGAACAGATCCCAGTGACGTACAATAAACTGCACAATGAAAGTACTCGTTTCTGGAAATTCATTTAGAGTGATTTCTGAGTATCTTTTCATGATTTCAATAAATGGCTGCAAAGGTCACCAACTCAACTATCATAATAAAAGTTATTTGAGTATATTTTAACCAACGATTCTGCTAATTTCTTTCTAACGATAACATTTTCTCAGAAGACATCTAACAGAATTATTCTGTAACCATTTTTACAAGTAATGATAGATGCAAGCAGTTATACTAAAAACTATACCCGTCGCACAAGAAGTAGCTATCGTGGCTCAGTGGTCGAGTGAATAACGCTCTGGCGTTTAAAGCGATCGCTCCAGAGTCCGAATCCCGGTGGGAACAACACCACTCACTAGGAGGCAGGTACATCCAGCTGACGAAATGCGGATTCTGGATTCCACTACTAGCCACTATCCATCATCATTATAATTAGAACACAGGTAATATCGAGGCATCCGCACAGGAGCCATATGCCAATAGAGACCTATCAGTTGGGTTCAATCAACGATGGTATAATACAAGCAATCATACATTTTTACAAGCTTTGTATAAACTCATCGAGGATTATTTCATGCTATTTCACTGAAAAGTAACAGCCAATTATTTGTAACCCATACCCTTCATTTTGTAACCTAAATGACTTTTGTTTACTTGTAAATTTATTGCTTGTTATGGAAATGTTATTCGGTTGTATCCACGTGATGACTTTAGTGGCCACCTTAACAACTATTGACATAGCCAGTTACTTTTTTTTATCTTACGCAAAATCAGCTTACCAGGTGAAATACCAAAACCTAACTGATTATTTCAGTACTTACTAGGATAGCATTTAAGGTCACATGATGTGAAGAAAGTGACCCTAAACTTCACCTTAGTAACTACTGAAGTAGTCAATTAGATTTCTATAATTCATGAAAAAATCTAGTCAGTCTAAAAGCTATCCTAGCAAAGACTGAAATAATCAATTAAGATTCTTTATTTAGCCTAGAACAATAGTTATTCATGAAATTAAGAAAAACAGTTAGTTATTTCAGCAGTTGGGTTAGGGTGACTTTTAGAGTCACTCAGAAAGTTAAATTTCCAGCCGAAATAGATAGACTCCATCGGTTTTTTGAATAGTTACTGAGGTGACCATTAGATCCACTCAAATAATCAACGAGGTTTCTCTATTTTCGTTAGACAGATAGTAATGAAAGAAGCAAGTAGACAGGTATGCAGGAATGAATGTTTATAGTCAGCACGTGAGACAGTAGTCCTTAAATATAGTACACCTTACACTAAAACTGTCATTTGCAAAATGTGCTTTATTTCCTCTTCTGCTTCTTTCTTGATTTGCTCTTAATACGCCCACATTGTCTCTTGCTTTTCTCTTGGCCGAATCTTTACCCATTCCTGGTAATCCCCTATGATTTCTGCCACCCTCTCAACATATACTACTTATGTTCATTCTTATCAGCAACGCCCACTACAGTAATAGGTATGATTAGTTATTTCAGTAGTTACCGAGATGGCACTTAGAGTCACTTAGTCTCGACTGATTCTTTTTGTCAAATCTTATTTCCTTCATAAATATTTGTGTTCTGAGATATCCATAGTTTAGCAGACTGGTATTATGATGATTGAAAGTGAAATGAAAACGTGCATCACAGCAGGATTTAAAATAGCAGCCTATGTATTACTAATTCGACTTTCCTATCAGTTGAGTTTTGGTGGTTAGATGATGATCAGGTCTTGACTGTGCTGAAAAAATTGTTAATATGACTGTCTAAAATCTAACCAATAAATTTTCTTCCTTTTTAAGCCTTATGGTCCAATACTAGATGTTGAAATCATATTCAACGAAAGAGGTTCCAAAGTAAGTATATTCTATTATTCCCCTGAATTTGCTAATTAAAAGTACTTTAAAATGTTAGTTATTGGTGTTAAACCCACCTAAACTTTCAATAGTCGGTCTCTTCACTTTAGGGCCCTAGATCTCTAGTGCACTTCTTAGCTTCAAAGATTATAAGTGCATGTGCTAATAATTCTAAGAGTGAATCAAAATAGCTATTCAGTTCACTGACATAGAATGATCTTGTCTTTCCTCTCATCTTCTGCGTTAAAAGTAGCGCCAAATAGTGTATAATGTTGGATTTCAACAGAGTTACCTACCATATTCGTTAATTGTTAACTTTTTGAAACTGTTTATAGAAATATTTAACACATTAGACTTTACCATTTCCATCGTGTTCTGTCTGTTCAAGTCTCACATCATTGCTACGGTCGAGAAAAAGAAACTCAAAAACCCCTTTGTCCTTATGAATAGGTAAAATTGGAAACATTTAAAAACGATGTTGGTTGTTTGTTGCTCAGCGTCTATATAAGGACTCATGCACTAGGTTATGAATTACAATTGAAGGTTAGCGATACTGCCTGCATCGTTGGAACAGTACTCGCATCTGTAACCTGATGGTTGAAAGTCAAATACTTAAGCCAACGATCCACAACACACTGATTGTGGATTTATCTACTACCACACATTAACTCATAAAGTCTTCTTAGACTAGTCAGTATCTCTATTCAATTTAGTAGTTGGTTATTGAGATTTTAAAAGTCTTTGGTTTCTAGGTCAGCTGAACGTCACCGAACAATAGGCCGGCTTTCAGTTACATGTGTATGCATGAAGACATTGTACGCAACAGGTATTGCACTCATGCTAATGGAGAAGATCCCGATTTCGCCGGTGATATCTTGCACTTATCACTCAACTAATAACAACTCTGGTCTTACTACGGTTAGACGGTGGCATCCAAGCATTTCAGCCCTTACTGCCTACGTAATGTTAGCAGACAACTGACCAAGTTCAGTAGTAAATCAGCGACTGCTTCGAAGACCTATTTCACAGCCTCGGCGGATGATAACAGTTTCATAGCTTTCAGTATTCGATAATGACTGCTGGTGTAGTCACCAGGGTGAACCACATCAATGACCTGAAACACATACCACAGATATAGGGAAACATGCTGGCTAACTCGGTCCTACTTGGGGTAGGTCACAGACCATCATACTTCGCATGCATTTCCACACTCTCCTATCGCCCGGCAAAGCCTGTTACAGATGCGCCGAACGGATGGGCTAGTCACCCCATATTACTTATAAACACCTAAGTGGCTACGGCATTACCCATGTTAACTTAGGTTTCTTTACTTCACTGTAGCAGGTTGATGTTTGCTTATCAGCGGGAACCACGAGGAGGTCCAGTGTAGCATGACTAGACTTGAAACACTATCACCATCAAAATCCCAAACAAGCCAGATATCCAATCAAGGATGACTAACTGTTTGCTGTTGCCTAGGCACTCACATGCGTCACTGATTAGATAATGAGCCATTTGCCCACCCTAAGAGGGTCATAGTTACTCTCGTCAGAGTAGTAGGAGTTTTAAGATATCTATTTTAAGACTTATGCCACAACAAATGATTAATTTACCCAATAGTTGACTTGTAAGTATATAAGAAGTTTCAAAAGAACTGATGAAGCTGTTTGAGAATTTATAACTGTTGCTTACTGGTCATCTGACATCTATATAAATTCGTAACACACTAGTAACAGTAATACTACCAATTACAATGATAACAAAGAAATACTAAATAGTGTCAGTCGATCGTAAGTGGAAAGTTTTAATTTGGACAACATTTTCACGATCGATTTCGTCAGTGAATCCTAACCAGTTATGGGAAGAAAACAGTAGTACAAGCGAGGAACTGAGGTTCAAAACTTTCTGCTGATCGCCTCCATCGAGCTGACATTCATCAAAAGTGCACTCAAATAGTCTATCTTCTAGATTGATGGACACAACGAAATGATCGATAGAATCCAGTCAGCACTCAGGTCTACACAACAAAAAATTGGTTGCTCTCCAGTGATAAGTCAGCATATCTAATCCACTCATACAGGATGCCAATTGCGGTCCACATAGTACAGTGGTAAGATCGCTGACTGCAAAACTGGGTAATATGAGTTTGAATCTCAGAAATGAGCGACAGTTCGATTGAGGTTCTAGATACTCATTGCTGACGAATGCTACCAAGCACGAAACCTAAGTCTAAGGTATTCTGACGATTTTCCCCAATCAGCTGACGTATAAAAAAGAACGCCTCTTATATCATCTGTATGCAAGTACACAAAAACAGATTATAGTTTTCAGTAAGATAAACTGATAAAACAAATACTTCTTTTCTATCCATATTTACTAGAGCCTATATCATAATAATTCACTCTGTGTTCGCCTAACTTGAATAGAAGAATTCAGTTCTATATTTACTGCTATATACATATGATGTGTAGGTGTTAGGTTCCTGATTAATCCTACAGTACTACTCCGTTAAGTAAGTTAACGAAAATGTCATCCAATAACAATTTTGGCATTATTTATTATACTAGACGGAATTGATCGATCTCTTTAGTTATACTGACTCCCTGAGCAGATGCCTGTGTTGTTTACTTGGTAGTGTCTAACAGTGGAATCCAAGGTGCATGTCTAGTCCTCTTTGAGACTCGTCACTTGGATGCACCTTAAATTCAGTGAGTTATGTTATCATTGCGCCCATATGTCAATAGAGACTGGTCAGTTTGTTTCAGTGTAGTAATCAATGAGTAATTACAAGCATTGCCAAATAACAAATTATACCCATTGGATATGAGGTGGATTTCGTAACCCAATAACCCTCTGGAGTTCATAGTCATCAGTGTTGGGTTTAGGTTTGAGCGAAAACATCATCACTCACTGGTTTACAAGTACATTCAACTAATGAGTCTCTAATAGTATGAAACGTTGCTCTTAGATTCCATTGCTAACCACCATCAAGCATATAATATCGAACCAACTTTAACACTTCGAAAAGTGTAGAAAGGGAAGAAATAGCATAGGTTTTTAGTGAGAACTTCCAGTACCGTGCAAAAGAGGAATGCAATTCTCAACATCTTCAGTACTTTAACTAATCAAGAAATAACATTGAAAATGGCAAAAAATGAATTGCATGCCATAGTATAAGAATGTTACACAATTGATAAATTTAAATTCGCAACAATAAATTTAGTTGTTAAAAGGCAGTCTCATGGGCTTCTTTTTCACATAGTTAAGAGGAAATCAAGCTAATCGAATGTATCATTCGTTTAACCTATATTCAACACTTGTGCAGTTCGTTCAGGTAATTGGAATATGAAATTGTACTACTAAAGAGATGAAAACATTACAGTGAATGTATCGAAATTACTTTATTATGGATGTTAACATAATTACTGATACTTTAGATCACTAGAAAGTGGAAACCTAATGGTACTTGTGAATTCTCATCATTGACACACAATAGGTTCACAAAATTCCAAACAGGTAACTGATTCATAGTCATATAGGTGGTGATTTTTATCAGTGAATATTCCATAACTTTTTATCGAATAAAATTTTATTCTCAATTTCCTTCTGTACAAAGGGCTTCGGTTTCGTTACATTTATGAATGCAGCTGATGCCGAAAAAGCACGTGAAAGTCTTAATGGTCATATTGTAATGGGTCGAAAGATAGAAGTAAGCTGTGTTTCCCTCAATATTGATTGAAATACTTTTGATAGTTACATGTTATAATTTACTTTCCTGTTTATCAGGAAACTTTCCAGTTCATAGAGGAGCAGAACGTTTTTTTCACTGACTGATGAAGAAAAGTCGGTGTTATAAATTCCCGCTTTTTCACTTCTTTTCATAAGACGTTTGATACCATCGAACACGGTGAACAATAATACTCTTCAGCTGTTATCTTAGAGCGCAGTGACTGGGAATTAGACTACATAACTAAAATCAAAAGCTGGTTATTTTTTGCTAATTCTATCATACTGCTTATAAGTAGCTTAAATAACTACCAACAATTTATCTTCAGACAGGCTTCTAGTAAAGATCGAATTTGCGGAAAACACTATGAAGTGAAGAGATCTTTTTAACTTTGAGTGTGGAATAGGAATTAAATATTTTGAGCCTTTGTAATAATATATGTTTAAAACATTATGAGAAATAGATTGTAATTTAAACTGGAGCTCAATCTGTGGCTGAATTTTCAAACGATCAAAGTTATTGTCAGATAAACTGTTACCCTCATCCTAGTGATTTAAGTAAGTTTATTCGTACGAATGGAATTTTGAAATCTGACTTCTAAAATAAACGAGGTCAGTACTATGTTTGTACTAATCATTTCGGCAGACACAGCTTATCGTTATCACAAGACAAAAACATCGACGAAGTGAAGTCTCTAGCATATTTGGTAACTTCTTCTATCTCTTTTTGTCGATGTTTTGGGTAGACTTTTCGAATGTTTTAATGAGATGGACTTTCCGTGTGAAATGAGGATAATCCCCCTTCCCTTCAGAAGTAAAAACACTTTCATAACTCTTTGACACGTTCCCACCTTGTCGGCCAATTAACATTTGAATCTGTAGATAAACTTGTTTAGTTGGATGCTTTATCAAACGATGGATTATATTTCACAAGGTGATATCAGTTTAAAAAAGGTTGAAAGTCACTGGAAAGCCTATGGTTGTTTTCTTTTAGTTTTGATCTCCTAATCGACACTTACCTCACAACTTCATACAGGATTGCGCTCAAGATTCCCATGTCGTTTGACAAGCATGCAACAAATGAGTCACTGAGTTAAAATCTAATTGATTTATCATTTAATATCACCTGTGGAAATCCGTCCTAACTTCCAATGTGATTGATCGTATAAGTCACAACATCCTATCGTAACTGCAACTGGAAATCAGTCTCTTATGAACAATAAATTATCGCTGAATTATTCACGTTGAATCTGTCATAAGAAAACTACCTTAAATTGAACCTTTCTGCTCACTGATGCAAACGCTTAGACATTATTTTACTTTCATGTAATCTATTAGGTAAACTTTCAATGTCACCATTGTATTGCAGTTTATTAAGCGGCCAGCAGTGGAATCTAAGACAAGACCTTCGTCTTGTTGTGCACTCATTACCTGGATGTACTCAGATCTCAGTGATGTTGTTCCCTTTGAGAATAGGACTCAGTATCCATCACTTTTAACACCAGAGAGTTGTTCACTAGACTACAAGAGTCACCACTTGTCTAACGGGTATCACTTCTTCCATATTAGATCTGTTTATTTGATTTATAACACACAGTCATCTAGTATTATTTACTTGATTACCACGTTTCGAGCATAAATTATCATCACTCATAATCATAATCACATCAATGTAATCACACTACTTTCGACAATCGATTTTTATAGTTATGTCACCTTATACGAGAAGCGCTAATAGTTAACAATTATCCTCCGCAGTTTATGAAGAAATTCGTACGAATATACAAGAAAAGGAAAAATAACAGTCACATGAGTGCGAATAATAACGACAGCACAAGTAGAAAGGAGTTCATAGCCTCCATTGTGTTACCCTATAAGGAGGGTACATCAGAAACTGTACGTAGGATCCTCAACAGAGCTGGGATTAGGGTGGCACTTAAACCTACAAACTCACTCAGAGATAAACTTTGTCGGCTACCTTAGGGATCCGATGGAACCAATTAAGCAAAATAATCTTATCTATCAAATTCCATGTAATGACTGTGAGTCAGGTCAAGTATTTAGGTGAAACTAACCGGTCGGGGTCAGTTAGAATAGCTGAACATAGTGAGCTAGCTAAATAGAATACAGAATGACAGACCCGAATAAGATCAATAATGTAGAAAAGTACTCGGCTATTGGAATGCACACATTAACATACAACCAAACAACAGGGTGGGATAAAGCCACTGTACTTAAGTCCAATATAATTAGGTGGAGAGAGAGAGAGAGAGAGAGAGAGAGAGAGAAGAGAGAGATTACTGAGTCTGTGTTCATCGAATCAACACGCAACTCATGTAATAGAACTGACGCAACACCTATACCAGAGATATGGAAAATTTTGCTACCAATAAAAACAACTCATATAAGGTGATATAACTATAAAAATCGATTGTCGAAAGTAGTGTGATTACATTGATGTGATTATGATTATGAGTGATGATAATTTATGCTCGAAACGTGGTAATCAAGTAAATAATACTAGATGACTGTGTGTTATAAATCAAATAAACAAGTCTAATATGGAATCAATTTCTATCACAGTGCCCAATTTTTACACACACATTCCACTTTTTGTCATGAACAAGAAATTATTCATAAATGAAACGGAATTCTTCTATCGATGTTCTCTAGCTTTTGTTATTTCACTTTAAAGAACAGTCAGCAGTCAGTATTCTTCTTCATTCCAAGTCATTGAGGGAGGGAGGATTAACATGGAGCTAAGAATTACTCAATACTGGTCGGAGTTGCCACATCTCATATCAGTACGTGAAGAGAAAAGTCATTTAGATGTAGGATATAGAAATAAGGAAGAAAGTAGTCAGAATGGTAGAAGGTCATGTAAAGAGAGTCAGAAAGAATGAAACAGTATGGAATTTCGGCATGAATATTAAGATAAAGAGTGAATACATTTGTGCCAATGAGAATGATTCTGAGCCATATCGCCTAAAGCCTCCAACTAATAATTTCGGTTGCCATGCCAACCCTAATCAGTTAGTCTACATTTCCAAATTGGCTCAGACCAGTGGTCATAGACTGCCTACATTGATGTTATTTTTTAGTCTGAGCACTTCTAACCTTTTACAGTCTAAATCTACTTCAGTTAGAATTGTAAGCAAATCTAATAAGAAATTGAATTCTACCACGGTGCCCATGTTTTACGTCTATATGAATAGTATCGAGTGTATTTTATTACTACTTTTAATATCCCGATGATATACTGAGTGGAATTACTGTACCTTTGTCCGCAGATGCGCTTCTATCAGGATGGCTCAATATCGCTTGAATATTCATTATATTGTAGTCTGTTTAGTGCAAGCAGTAACCTTTTTATATTGTGAGTTGTTTCGTGTGGGTTGTCAAGTTATTTCTGAGATAAAAACTTTGTGAATACTGCATTATTATCTCATATTTGGTGGACTATGATTCTTCGTGACTCAACTGTATAACATGTCTGGTTCTTTATAGATTCGGATAGATATGAGTTTAAGGGATTTAAAACACATGGCAAGAACAGGTTCATTGACATCTTTTACTCTTCCACTATGTTTAAAAACTACAGCGATAACATAACTTTGAGCTAACGAATTCATATTGCTTATACCATTCGAGTGATCAAAGTTGTTTATCTTCTACTGTAATATCTAAGTTGGTGTTATTTGAAAGTCAATTGAAACTTTATGGCGCATCAGGATTCAAAGTGGTGACTGTATAGGTTACTGCCCTGCTATCCCACTGACCGAGTTAAATCACTGCATAGACGAATAGTACGATTGACGCTATTGAACTTATTTGTTGCTTAATTAGTCGAAACATTGTAAAACTTGTCCTGTTAGTTCGTTGGTTTGATTTTCTTTAGGCAACCGGGAAGTGAAGAGTGAACAAACATTAAGAACATAAGGATTTGGACCGCAGCCAGATTCGAACCAGCGACCAACGGGTTACCAACCCAATGCTCTACCAACTGAGATACGAGGTCCGACCGCTGACCATAATTTTATTTCACTTCAATCATCATGGGATTTGCCCGACTACCATGTGAGTTCATGACGCATTACTACCGCTTGATCGTATTCACACTGGCTGCCTAGTCAAGACTTCTCTTCCCAATCCGAATCTAACTGAATTAGAATCAGAGGGGGAGCATCATATTGATCATCATTTAACCATCTGAGATAGCCGTAGTTTGATAGACTAGTAAGTAGTCGGGTAAATCTTATGGTGATTGAAGTGAAATAAAAATGTGATCAGCAGTCAGCCCTCGTACGTAGTCCACTTGGTAGAACATCGGCCAGGTAACCCAGTGGTCGCTGGTTCGAATGCGACCGCGGTTCAAATTTCCATTTCCCCTTCAATCATCAACCAGTTTAAACACTAGTCTGTCGAATTACGGCTATCTCAGATAGTTAAACGATAATTAAGAGCATAAGCGGAAAACAGAAGAATGAAGATGTTGGCGACAACGGAATAATTATTACTTTAGAATCATATGACAAGGAATGGGTGTTCCTTTACTGCTGTATTTAATCTCTACTATATTCTATAGAGTTTTCAGTCGTCAACTTATACTTTGTCTGGTGTTAAAGCAAAAACTGAAATTACCAGCACAATTCAAACGTACAGTCATTTGCAGTCATTACTGACGAACAAATCTATTATTGACGAGTGAAGTTACATTACTGCATAGTGTTTAACAGTTAAGCAGTTCATTTTTTCCAGGAATGCACAAATATTGCATGGTAGTCTAGAATGTAACATAGGAAACTAGGTAGGCATGTCTGTAATGATCAAGCCTATGAGACAAATCAGATATCAGAAATAAGGGAAGGGGATTGAAGATAAAAGTGATATTTTATTGGCCGAGAAGAAGTAAATCAAAGAGGTCAAAGAAAGATCGTAACTATGGTTAAATAAGAGATTTGAAGTTACTTCTCTTTTGAACGC